TATTGATGCGGTTTTTACATCATCGTGCTACTTTTTTATGAAACTAAAGATGCTACACACATATTTGTCTTAGTCCTCTTAGTTCCTGAAATACAGTGCAAATTTAAAATTGTTGCATTTTTCGATACCTCTCGTAATATAGAGTATATTGTATTTTTAGAAAACTCATAACAAGTCAAATAAAACAAGAATACAATAGGGTGGTCCATATAAACTGCAACAGTTTGATTGATATTCCGAAAATGACAGCCTTTAGCGAAAAACTAGTTACACTACTGGATCCTACGTAAAAAACTAGGGGATTCAGTTTCCAACTTTTCGGTAAGTTATAAGATACCCAAGATACGAAAGGGATTGAAAAATTCGCTCTGTGTTTCAAGAACTAAGAAGGCTTAAACAAGTCTGCGTGTATCTTTAAAAAGTAGAACAGTGGTGTGAAAAATGCATCATTAAATCTTTATTCATAAATGAGAAATCCCATAAACACGCGAGAATGGGTCACCCCATATAAAGTACCATTGTCTCCATACACACAAAATCATTAATAATAATAAAACTAGTTTTTACTAGAAAGTAATTATATCTTGTAACATGTTATGAGTAGTAAATCAAAGTAATTTAATAAAGAATATAGATATAATATACACAAATATATTACAAAATTTCATACTCTGTATCTATATTTCAAAAATTTGTGTCAAATAAACAAAACTTTTGCACGTGTTACAAGTATCCCAGCAAAATATTAAAACGAATTCACTGTAATTATTTTCGTTATAAAATCCGTCACGGCAAGTTGTTACAAATCTAATTACCGAGCCAGAATCGCTAGAATAATAATAAATAGAAGCGACATGCGAACAACGAGCTTTGCCAGCAATTTATTTTAACCAATTAATTTCATTGCCACACAAGAATTTACCTTACAGCGCAAACTTCATTGAAAGCCCCGCTTTGAAATGAAATTATTCACGGAAACCGCTAAAAGACTAGCGCTATTATTTATATTTTTCTCTATAACTCTCTTTTGCAAAGGTGTTGGTTCTTTTTCAAGAAATAAAAACATTAAAATAAAATTAAATAAATAGATTTCACGATACGATTGGGTACGCCTAGTATTCGGACGTTTTTTAAAAAATTCGAAAAAATCGTTTATATTTAGTTTTTTTGAACACATACCGTGCTCCTGTGAACGGAAATGAAAAAAAAATATTCAAGCAAAATTGTTAAAATTTCAAGCAAAATTGATATTTTTCAAGTAAAATCGTTAATTTTCAGGCGTAAGCGTATCGCCTCAGAGAAATCTTCGATTGGATGGATAAAGGGACGAATTTTGACATTTCTGAGGCAGCGGATCGTTGAAACGATAATAACTTCGCATCGAATAAGCGCACTGTGTTCAAATTTGTATTCGATTAAATTCTTTGATGCAAATTACTTTTTAAAACTTGTCATAGGCGAAACAGTTTGGAAATACCGTTGAAAGGATTACAAAATGAAAATATACTTTGGTTTTTTATTTTAAACTTTTTTTTTACTTTAATATACAAAAACTAGAGAAATCTCTTTAACATGACAGTTATCGTAGATTATACTGCAAAATATACAAAGAAAAAATGAAAAAAAAACACTTTTGGGAGCTGTTTCTATCGAATAAAAGACCTTTTATACAAATATGACACTATTATTTTCACTTTGCAACGCCCCAATTGCTTCCGTAACTGCAGAGATCACATTTGGAATGATATAGTACATATTTTTTTTGTTTTTCAATCTTCATCTCGGCTCCTATCTAAAATGCTACTGAAATAAATCCAAGCTAAGAAGCTATTCAGCAAAAATTTACCAATTTTCCTCTAATTTCTAATATTCTAGACGTTATTTTAGAGTTAGAGAAGTACAGAGGGTAGCCTAACTTACTTTATTATTCTGTCGATAACTATATTATAGAATCTATGGCTAGAAGAGATTCATTTTAAAATTGTTTGTTTTACTCTGTTGCTAAATACTTAATAATTATTAAGTAAAATACTATCGACAGTTTTATATACGCTATTATCTATAAGAATTGTTAATCTAACGTTTATTAGTTTACGTAGTAAAAGACAAACTTCGATAGCTTTCCTTCAATCAAAAATAATGTTTTTTAATCAAGCAAAATTGTTAAAATTTCAAGCAAAATTGTTAAAATTTCAAGTAAAATGTCAAATTCAAGCAAAAATGTTATTTTTCAAGTAAAAACGTTAAATTTTATGAACAATAATATTAATAAAAATAATATAATATAAAATAATAAATTTTAAAAAACAATATTTTGTTTACTTATAATAAAAATGCTTTTGTGTTACATATTTTGGAATAAAAAATAAACTCCATAAACTCTCTATATTCCAAAAGCCAGACGACTTCACAAATATAGACACTGATGACATAAACGAATATTTTGTTTGTCTTTTGCTATATAAACGTTGTTCCTCTAATATTAATATTTATCTATATTTACGTTATTATATATTGTCTTCTAAGACGAGAATATCCTATTAAACAAACACGTTTATTATACTAAAACTTTTTAATAAAATGGTTAGAAATATATTCTTAGTAGTTTTGTTTGTGTGGCAATAGTGGGTATTAAAAGAATAATTCTCATCTTTCAAAATGATAATAAAGCTAAAAAGACTTATAATAAATTTTATTACTTTGTCAAGTATTTTATTGTTCTGGGGAAAGGAGATGTAATAAAATATTTATGTAACATTTACACGAAAAAGTACTGAAGTTAAAATATGAAAATCGTAAAATCTGACTGAATAAGAGAGATATTCATTAAATAGTCATAAAACTAAACCCTCTAGAGAAGTAAAATTATTTCGTCTGTGATTTTAGTTAATTTTAATATAAAGTAATATTTAAAATTAAAATAAAAAATAGAGTAAATATTATTATTTTAGGATTATATAGTGTTTTATTTGTGCAACTTTTAAATAATTATTTTAATAATTGTTTTAAATAATCTATTTTAATAAATTAGTTAATATATTACCTGAAATGTTTGAGTATAAAATAATCATGATTGTAGATCTGTGTAATATGATGCTATCTGCATATTAAATTAAACAACTTTGATATTAAAAAATATAAAAAATGTAAAAATATAGACTTCTGTAATTTTATAAGTTTTTTTTTCAGAATACACAGAAAGATGTATAATTCCAAAAATTATTATAGCTCGTACTTAAATAGTTGAATTTTAATAGTATTTATGTTTAGTTCCTCGTAAAGATACTTAAAAAATAATAAATAAATCTCTAATTAACTAATAATCAATATAATAACTTATTTATACGAGATAAACTCAATTATAAATTCGTTTGATCATATGTTATTTCTTTCACTAAAAACGATAAAATTTAAGTAATAATATTCAAATATCTTAATGTTTCGTTATAGGATGTTGTTATATGCTGATCCGTATGTAAACTATTTATAACAACCAATACTTTATATACGATATGTTATTGTTCGTTTGAACCAAAAAATATTATAATAAATATTATACAGGGTCTTTCAAAAGCACCTGCCCTCTCTCGTGGGGAGATTATTCACGTAAAAATAAGATTTATTTTTCATATCAACATAACGTCGCGTCGTAGATATCATGAAGTGGCATAACTCATTTGTTGATATTTTCCAGAAGAGCGGTTAAAAGTTTTTTACGACCTTTGTTTCAATACCAACCAAAATATACTGTTCTTTTAAAAGAATATTATTCTTTTTTGTAAAAGACAGAGATTTTTGTCAAACACATAGTAGATGCTCAGCGCTATCTACAGCAAATTCAAGAAAAAAATGGTATATAAGATAATTACAATTTTTTTTTAAATGATTTAACATCCTGTAACTTTAAAACAACCTATGCATTTCCGCACCCCTGTTTATATAAACTTTTTTTCATATTTTTTGATAAGAAATCAATGTGTACTAATTAACACTTTGGCCAATTAATAACATTAACATATTTGAAAGGATGCTATTAGAATTGGATTAAGGCATATTAATAAATTTTTGTTTATTACATCAAGGAGACTGAATTCGACAAAATATCAAGAGATAACTTTTAATTGGCATTAAATGGCCTACATAATTGTGCTAATAAGAGAAAAAGTCATTGGCGCACAGGATCTTTTAGAAAAATATTCCAGTGACAACCCAGTGAATGTGTAACAACCCACTTTTTAAGTATTAAAATATATCGCACTTATAGTAACTTTTCCCTCAAAATTTTATTCGAATAGCTAAAAATACTGAGAAGAAAATTATAATAAATCGAAAAAAAATAACTTCCTGTAGCTACGAAACAAAGTAGAATCGGACCTATGTTGATATAAGAAATAAATCTTAAAGCACATGTTCTTTTTAACATCCTGTATAAACGTTAAAAACAGGCCACAAACATTATTTCGATCGTTGTGTTAAAAAACAGGTCAATATACACTAAAAACATACTCTCAACATAATTTATCTGCTCTAGATTGACCTTAACGCACATTTCTTTAAGAGTGAACGTTATTATAACAGATCAAAAAATATAATTTCAAGTTAAAACAGGTAAACAAACACTGAAAACAGACTCTGAACATAAATTGTCTGTTCTATATTCACCTTAATGTGCATTTATTAAAAAATAAACGTTAAAATGATTAGCTCGATAATTGTGATAAAAAACATATAAATAACCACTAAAAACTTAATCCGTCTGTCCTATAATTGGCCTTAACGCGCACGCACCACAACAAAGTGTCGCTGGTGTTGCGCCTGCGCGGGGGGCATGCGCGTTATGGCCGGTCGCAACGTTCACAGGGGCAGGGCATGCAAGGCGTGGCCCGCCGAGGTCGCCGCCCCTCCGTACACAGCCGCGTGATGGTGGTCGAGGGGCAGCGAGAGCAGCGGGGGTAAAGGGGCGTGGTGGTGGTGCAGACTGGCCGCCAGGGCAGCGTTACCTGTGGGGTAGGGTAGTCCGAAACTAGGGTAGCCCGAGTAACCACGGCCGGCCGCGTACGCTGCGTAAGCGGCGGCTGGGAAACCTAGAACAGAAAAGAAGAGATTAGTGTTGGTAAAGCTTCATTTAGAACTTCGAAATTAGTGGTTTCAATTATAACTCTTTTTATTTAAAAAAATACCACCGCACCACATAGCGAAAGACTAATATACTACCACTAATTTTAGCATTCTGAATCGTTACATTTAAATTTAAGGAACAGTTCTCTACGCTAATTGAAACCACTAATTTATTCTACCGTATGATAAAAAAAACGGCGTCAGCGATGGCTATGAAATGAAGATCGCTGTCATTTTATATGTAAAATTATATGGGAAATGTCATCGATCGTCATTTATACGATCATACGGTATTCATTTAGAGGTTCTAAATTAATGAAGTGTTATGCCTTGAACAAGTTATAGTTTTTAACTATTAACTTTTACACCGGGTGTTTCTCAAAAGTGGCTCACCTATAACTTTTTAATTAATTTAATTAATTAAAAAGTTAAATATGATATAAATCAGGATTGATTGTCACATTCAATTGTTTCGGTTACTTCCTGTTTCCCCGAAAATTACTACAACTATTGATTTTTAAATGGTACCCTTAGTATTTTTTTTACTTTATTCGATAGAAAATTACACTCTGAATAAAATGACATATTATATGTCAACTTTTGACATTTTCGCATATGGTTTATTTTAAATTGTAACATGCGGTTCATAACAACAATTTGATACGAAATATCAAGTGTGTGGTACCAAATTATTCGCTAAAATGCTTTTTCCAAATATGCCCATGAGCCATCCTCGTACCGTTTGAAAAATTGAGATATGATTAAAAATACGATTTGGACATATTTTAACCAGCCAGGATAAGACACAAAAAATATTTGACGATCAAATCTATTTCTCCAAGGCTTATTGATTAAAAATGTGTCATTTTCTATCGAATAAAGTAAAAAAGAAATACCGGTGCCATTTAAAAATCAAAACTTGTAGTCATTTCCGGTGAAACAGGAAGTGACCGAATACAACTGAATACGTCAATGAATCCTAATTTATGTCATATACTAACATAATCTCGTTTTTATCTGAAAAAATGAGCAACTTTTTTGAGAAACCATCGTTATAATACAACTGTCAGGTTTACGCTTGAGTTATATTTCATTATAATTTCGAAATGAAATCAAAATTAGGTGACTTTGCTTCTCATTTAGCTGGAAAATACATTTATTTTGTATTTGTATTTTTGTAACGCCTATTTTTTTTAATATTACTTATAATTATTTATAAAGTACTATTATTTTTTTAAATACTTATATATTTACTTATATTTAATTATAAATTTAGTCCTTCATAATTTGAGATTTATTAAAATATTAGAAGCGCGAAATAAATCCGCCCTAATGAAATTTTATATCGATGTTTTTCCTTTAATAATTTTTACCTCTAAAGTAATTATGCAAAGTAATTGTTGGACTTTATTTTTAATTAAAATTTATAATGGTCTAAGGCCGCGGCTACACGATACGCCTCGGTAAGCCGGAGATTTATCGAAGACTTTTCTTGTCTTTTTTCATCAATTATTTTTTATAACACAACATGCAACACAAGATTTGCTTATAATAAATATCGTATGATCGAAAAAAAAAACAGCGTCAAAGAATGCGGCTGGAGAATGACAATAGATGATAATATTGCCGAGGTTAATCTCTAAACGTCATTTACTAAAAATTGACATCAAAATTGTCAAAAATTAACACTAATTTATAGAGAGATGAGATACTTTAAAAAGGATAGGACGTTTCGAAACACATAAATCTACACTCAGATGCAAATTGTTCAAGTGTTATGTTTTTTCCCTATTTTCATGAATTTTTTAGCAAGCTGTATATAATTATATCACCTTTTATTCGTAAACTCAGCTTTTTATAAACTTTAGTATTTGGCATATTATACAGGGTTAATCGAGGGGTTGTTTTTTTACCTTAACTTTAAAACACTCTGTGCAATAATTTCGTGTGTAAATTTTCCTAAAATATAATCTTACGGTCAGAACCATGTCTTCTGAGCGTTTTATTTTTTGGATCATGTTAATACATGCCTTGGTTAATTTTTAAGAGCGAAATTAGCTTGCCACCAACAATTTTCAAATTTTTCAATTATCATTTCTCTTTTAAAGTTATTTTTCAATGTGATAAAGCGGCTTTTGTGATTATTGTCAACACTGAAGCAGTGTTCATACTACTATGAACTCTGCCCATCATGTTCGATGTTTGGCAAATGCTTGGCAGGAGGGTTAGAGGCCGCGAAGCAGTACCAGCTTCATTAAATGAACTTCGCCTGGTCCTTGAAGAAAACTGGTAAAACATAACGCAATATGATATACCGGGTGTTGCATTGTCGAGCGGGACATAGGAAATCCCATGTAAATTTTAATGGGGTCAATTATTGGCTTCCCTAATTATTTTAGGGAATAATTCTATTTAGGTTTATTGAAGAGCACTAAAACCCACATTAAAAAGAATAACTTTAGATATTTTTGATTAGCCCGTTTACGAGTTATCGCCCGATTTCTTTTTAAATATTTCTCCTTTCTTATGGCCCTGTATTTACCTATTTATTATGAGCACCAGTCAAGGTAAAAGATAACCGTCAAATGAAGTTGCCATTTCAGAAATTTATCTATTTAGTGCTTTATTATTATTGAAAACTCATTCCTACATCGGAAATCTTAAAGATGTATTTATAAATACAAATTAATTTGAATTAACGTAAAATAAAGTAAACAATTACAAGGTTAATTACAGTATTATTACAATATTCAATACCTTATTAATTTAGGTACTATTAAATTGTTAGAACTTTAGGATTTAAGAAGATGTTCAAATATTCCTTCATCGACTGCTAGACAATAACCCAGGCGATCATAAAATTCCCTTCTTACATTCGCTAGTTGGTAAACTGAAATTCTATTGCATTCGGCAGAAATAGCATTTTTTAACTCGTCCAGATTTGGGTATTTTTTATCCTTGTATATCCTGTTTTTTAAATGGCCACAGAGAAAGAAATCATTTGGCGAAATATCAGGAGACCTTGCTGGCCAATTTACTGTATGATTTAGGCCAATAACGTTTCCGTTAAAACTATTGTCTAAATATTCCCGAACAGCCAGGGTACTATGTGCCGGGCAGCCATCCATTTGGTACCAAACTTCCTGATTTTCCCTAGCGGCATCATGTAAAGCAGGTAAAATATGATTTTCGAGTAGTTCCAAATAATATTCTGCATTTAAATTTCGCGTAAGAAATAATGGCCCGACAATATTGTGTCCGAATGTCCCTGACCAAACATTTACTGTGTCTGTGGATATTGCGTCCTTGTTTCGACAAACCTGTGTTGGTTTTCTTTGTTCCAATATCGATAATTTTGAACATTGGGTTCATTATTTAAGGTAAACGTGCATTCGTCAGTGAAACATATGTTTTTTAAAAATTCCCTATCCGTGTTTGCTCTTTCCATCATATCAAAACAAAACGCCTGCCGCCGTATTTCGTCCCCATCTCGTAGCTCTTGGTGCTTTTCATATTTGAAGGAATAGTATTTATGTCGTTTCAAAATTCGAAACGCTGTAGTGTGATCTATTCCTATTTCATCCTCAAGTTTCCTTGTGCTGGTCTTTTCATCGTTCTCTTCCATGCACAATAAAACTTCCAAGTCGGTATCATTTTTTGCATCTTCTCTTTGTTCCTGCCTTGCTTCACATCTGCAGTTGTTTATTAGTATCGGTCTATTCGGATACAGAGCAGCAAACATGTCCGACACCTTTTGATAACTATTTCATTGGTGATACCCTTTAATCATCAATACTTTTTCTTCGGTAGTGTAAAGCTTGATTTTCATGCATCCGTTGTCCGACGATACGTTGATACGATATTAATTTTATTGGTTGAATTTAAAGGCGTTCGGTTGGTTAACCGTTTCTAACCAATCGAAGTCTTTAAATTCAACCAATAAAATTAATATCGTATCATCGTATCGTCGGATAACGGATGCATGAAAATCAAGCTTAATTCATGGCTAATATTTTCGATGTAGATATAAGGTTTTAATAATAATAATAATAAAGCACTAAATATATAAATTTCTGAAATGACAACTTCATTTGACAGTTATCTTTTACCTTGACTGGTGCTCATAATAAATAGGTAAATACAGGGCCATAAGAAAGGAGAAATATTTAAAAAGAAATCGGCGATAACTCGTAAACGGGCTAATCAAAAATATCTAAAGTTATTCTTTTTAATGTGGGTTTTAGTGCTCTTCAATAAACCTAAATAGAATTATTATTATATTTATATTTTAACGAAAAGTAACGATATAATTAAAAAATTGTAAATTGATCGTTATTAGTTCATTTCGCTCTTAAAAATTAACCAAAGCATGTATTGACATGAATCAAAAAACAAAAAGCTCCGAAGTTATGGTTCTGAACGTAAAATTATATTTTAGTAAAATTTACAGACAAAATTATTGCACAGGGTATTTTTTTTTAAGTTATAGTAAAAAACAATCCCTCGATATAATATGCCAAATACTAATGTGTATGAAAAGCTGAGTTTACGAATTAAAGATGACATAATTATATACAGCTTGCTAAAGAATTTATGAAAATAGGGCCAAAAATATAACAGTTTAAATTTGACCAAAAATTTTTCTTGCATCTGAGCGTATAAAGAGAAGTGAAATTTTTCTGTAAACTTAAAACTAATAAACAAATATTAAGAAATAATTTAAATGTTGTACAAGAGGTTACTTACCGTCTGGAAGAGCACCCAGAGACCACATAAAATCTAAAAACGAAAAAAAAAACATCTATTAGTCAAAACCAAATTTAAAAAGCGCAATATAAACATTGAAATACGTGTAAAAAATGAAAATAAAAAAGACTGACGACTATTGTTAACTAAGACTCGAAAGTTAGCATTCATGAAATTTCAACTACTTTTGTCTAAAACTACTTTTCGTTATGTGGTCGCGTGAAGCGCAGTACAACTAAAGAAACTCGAGAGGATTTTGTTAGCTGAAATTTTAAGTTAATGGAACAGCGTTGTTTTGCTTCTGCAGTACATTCGACTAAGCTACTAGGTCTAGATTTAACTAACAGCTACGCTATAATAATTAGTTTTCGTTAATTTGCAGTTTGAATGAAGTATATAATTTTTTATTTATTTTATTAATTTAAAGAAATATAATATAAATAAACACACCTTATACTGTATAAAACGAAAGTTTCCAAGATATACAAATGATATGTAAACAGAAAAATGCTTGGTTCCCCCTTATTTAAGAAAAAAATTCAAAAAGTTTGATTGAGGAAACTTCAGCACCATATTCCGTTGACAAAAAACAAGTAAAAAACTTTGTGTAGGTACATTTATGTCCAAAAATGCTTCGTTTCGGTGTAGCAGTTTCATTTTTATTTCGGTTGTTTCAAATAAATTCGTAATTATCGTCAATATTTGGATGAAAGTTGGTGTCTGGATGTTTTTTGATATGAGAAATTTGATTTTAATGCCCGTATGGCTCTTACTGCTAGGAGGCGCCACCTACACGTATTTTAACTCTTTTTAAAAGTAATAACTTTTCATCCGTACCTGTATCAAACCACTGAGTGAGAAAATATACATTTCTGCCATTTTTTGCGTAAAAAAGATCTTTTGGTAAAAATCGCTACAAGCAACCGTTCTCAAGCTATTTGTAACGGAAATTATGAATCCATATCATTATTGATAAAAAATAAACATGCTGACTAGATAGTCATTTGACTGTAATCCTGCAAGGTTAGATTCGAACTCTTCATATCAAAAAACTACCGGATACCAATTTTTACTTCAATATTTTATTAATTTATTATTATTTTATCAATTATCATAGGTTTTATTAAAAAAAATATATCAAATCTTTAACACCTTATATCTCGAAAAAGAAGGCCTTCCGCACTCATATTTACGTAGACTTTTTTGCGCCCTGAATGCGTAATTGAAATACTGACATTTCCTTATGTATACTATTCATTAATTTCTATTTTTCGTGATTCTTAATTCAAATAGTAAAAAAAAAGGTTTGTTTAGATTTTCCTCGTATAGGACCAAAACATGGTTAGTCTATTTTTTATGTCCAAAGATAAATATTTTTTTAATAATACTTCTTTCAAACTATTTCTAACTCGCATATACATTTTTATTTTTAAATTAGAAGTATTTATTTTTTATAAAAACATTTAATAAAAAAAACGTAAATGCGAGTTATACAAAATTATCTAAATATAACAACAACTTGAATCTAATTTAAATAATATTACACACTTCTTGACTAATCTTCTAATCTATGTTTCTTAAAAAAACAAAAAAAAGTTAAAAATATTTAGAAAATGTCTTTAAAACTGTCCCAACCCCACTTGCTTTTTGTTAATACGGTTTTTAAATTGTTTTTGGTAGACAATAATCATCAACAATATTTTGGAAAATTATTTTCAATTAACTATACTACGTGTAGTAGTTTATAATCTACAGTATGTCCCCGGATTGTCTTTACAAGAGGAAAAACTTTTTTATTATTCACATTTTCAGAAAAATATATTTTTATATTCTTATGTTGCTAATTAATCCCGTATGTTAATATCATTTCGATTTCATTCTTTGCTAGATGGTTGTTATTAATTTTGATTAACGCCATTGCTGTGTTAAAGTATGACATTTTCCGATAAATATTATCATTGTTTCCGTAGCATTGAACTAAATAAATTTTGTGCTTCTTTAACTTTTTAAAACAGCAAAAAATATGACGTTAATTAAGTCAATAACCATCTGTCAAAGTATATAATAGCTATTTATGTAACTAGTACCTAAAATGATGTTTTTTAGGACGAATCATTACTGTTTGCGGACGAGGCGTTAGCCGAGTCCGAAATAGTAGATGAGTCCTAAAAAACATAATTTAGGTACGTGTTACATACACTATTTTTTGTCATACGCTTTTTACAGTTTTTTAGAACGCATATTTGCAAATTTTCCATATTTGAAATTATAATGTTTGAAAAAGTTGGCTTATAAATTCATATCTTAGTAACGAGTTTGTTTATTTCATCGCATTTTGACATGTCATTCGAAATTTGTCACAAAATCACACAAATTCATCAACAATTTAGACATTTTAGTCCATAAAGGTTGCCATGACGACCTTTACGGCCTAGGCCGAAAAAGAAACATTTTACGGACTGAAATGAGTCCGTAAAATAGCTGTTTTTGGGAGCGTATGACAAAAAAGAAATTATATTACCATAAAAACGCCCATTTTCGCAAAATGTCAGTAATAAAAAAGTTTTTCCTCTTGTAAAGACAATCCAAGGACATACTGTATAATAAACAATTACTGGTAAATTTATGAAAGAACTATTCTAAACGACGAGGTAGTAAGTAATATACATTGAAACACTTATTATTTTACTTTACCTTATCTTCTCAACTATTCCTCAACTAGTTATAATAAATCTATACTCTATCTCTCCTCTATGAGTAAATACATTAATATTAGTCTTTTCATAAAAGATTAGTCGCCTAAACTAGTCAATTTAAGTACTTTACAGCGTTTAAAGACTGCTCCAACACCATTGTCTTATTGTACACAAGTTTAGCAAGTTTAATAGATCATATTTCGAAATACAGGCTAAAATTAATTTATTATTGAAGGTTAGACGTGTAAGGTTTCGACGGCTTCTGTGTAATAAGCATCAGGGAAGCCTTTAGCTCAGGAGCGGTTAATTGATTTGGTTGAAATCGGGCTCCTCTTGGGGAGATTATACAAATAGTCGCTTTTCGTTATCGATACGTATTGCGTTTCCAATAAGACAATATATTAGAGTTAGCTAACCGGGTAAGTTTTAACCTAAAGTAAACTTTATCCTATTAAGATACTTGCAAGAATGAATAAGAAAATAAATTTAATTTGGTTTTCTAGTTAATTATAGTTCAAAATATACGTATATACTTTTTTTTAAGAAATCGATATTTTTTTTAGAAAGTGATACATTCCTAATATCATTCCAATATACAGGGTGGTCCGAACTGTATTCCGGAAACTTCGGCAGCATTTTCTGCAGATAAAAATCAGTAAAAAAGTTCGTATAAATGTATGTTCTAAAATGCTTAGTTTCGGAAATACAGGGTGTTGAAGTTTCATTTTTATTTTTATTTTTTCCAAATAATTTCTGAAGTAAAGTGTCTGGGAGTTTTTTGACATGAGAAATTCGATTTTAATGTCAATATGACTCCTACTTGTAGAGGACGCCATCTACATATTTTTTAGCTGGTTTGAAGAGTAATAAATTTTCGTCCGTAACTGTATAAATTAACAGAGTAAAAAAATATGCATTTACGACGTTTTTTACAAAAAAAAGGTCTCTTGGTAAAAATCGCTACGAGTAATGGTTCTCGAGATATTTGGAATCGTAATATAAATAGCTGTCGTCATTGACATAAATTAAACTTATTGACTTGTAGTTATTAGTCTGAAATCATAAATTTCAAATGTTTTGGCGCCAAAAGTTGAACAGAAATTGTTTTATGATTAATTTAAAAAAATAAAAAGTTCCCAAATTTATCATTTTAGTCAAATAACAACTATCTACTCAACACGTTTATTTTTTTGTCAATAATGACATGTATTGACTGTTCCCATTTTAAATATCTTGAGAACGGTTGCTCGTAAATAGCAATGTTTACCAAGAGATATTTTTTAAGCAAAAAAAACACGGAAATGTATATTTTTTCACTCAGTAGTTTTATACAGGTACGGACAAAAAGTTATTACTCTTCAAAACAGTTAAAATATATGTAGGTGACGCCTCCTACAAATAGGACTCATATTGATTTCGAAATCAAATTGATCATGTCAAAAAACTCCCAGAAACCAAGTTTTGCCCAAATATTGACATTATTTGAGAAATTATTTGGAAAAAATCACAATAAAAATGAAACTGATACACCCTCTATCTCCAAAGCTAAGCATTTTAGAACATACATTTATACGAACCATTTTACATATTTTTATCTGCAGAATATGCCGCCGAAGTTTCCGGAATACAGTTCGGACCACCCTGTATAAAAGAATATTTTTTTAAAATTTTTAAACAAAACATGTTTTTATGGTTTAAAAGTGTTTTTATTGTATTACACACGATTTTCATTCCAAAGTCGGGATTATTTAAAACACTTGTTTTAAATAAAGTGTTTAGTTTTTAGACTGTTTTAAACTATACCGCGTATTTCTCAAAATTGGCTCACCCCTATAACTTTTTTTATTTTTCGGATTAAAAAACGAGATTTGGTACTTCTTGCAAATACCTTGAGAAAAAAAGTTTAGAATACAAAACTAAAAAAGTATATCTATATAAGATTATGGGTTATGGTAATATCCTGACTAAACTAAAATTCTTAGAGAAAACCTAGATCATGTATACTTCGTGGATACAGATCTGCCAAAAGACTTGTATCATTACTGTGCTGTCTACATCTCCAACATGACCATGCGTGCTCTATTATCTTTTTTTCATATGCCCGTAGAATTCTTTGCAGATTTTTCAATATATTTTTTATCATAGTTTTGTAAACATTCTGTATATTTAATTGCAAGTCTTTCTTTCTTGTGGAAAATGAAAAACAAGTATGTACCAGAATACTTGGAGATATAGTCGAAAAACATCGTACCACTGCTTGGCGAATTTTGAAGAAGCATAATTTTAAGTCATTTAAATATTCTGAACACCAAGAATTATCGGACATTTTCTCCATTTTATATTTAATAAGTGCTCTGAGGGAACGAAATTAGGGGGTAATTGCAGGTATAAAAGTGTTTAAATCTATCCTATAATGCACAGCTGAAACTAGACATAGAAACACGAAATTTGGCAAATGTGTTTCTTAAGTGATGTAAGTGAGCACTAAGAAGAGATTTTTGGAAATTCGGCCGCTAAGGGGTTGAAATTAGGGATAGAAAGTTGCATAAAAAGTTGTTAAAATCTGTTCTAGGAGTACGAAATATTGCACAGAAGTCTCTTAAGCGGCGTCATTGAACACTAAGAAGCGATTTTCGGAAATTCAACCTTTAAGGGGGTGAAACTGTATACCGAAACTAGGGGTAGAAGTTTCTAGTTTTTTTTTAAATTTGTCGTAGGAGTATAAAATTTTGCGCAGAGATTCTTAAGTGACGAAAGTGGATACTCGATTTTTGGAAATGTATTCCCTAGGAGGGTAAAGTTAGGGGTAAAATTTGTACAAAAATTTGTTAAAATCGCTTTAAAAAGTATAACATTTTGCACAGAGATTTCTTGGGTGACATAATTGAGCACTGAGAAGCGATTTCTCGAAATTCACACATAAATAAGGGGGTAAAACTCGTGGTGAAATCTTGTATATATTTTTTTAAATTAGTCCTAGGGGTATGATATTTTGTATAGAGGTTTCTTAAGTGGCGAAAGTGAGTACTTAAAAGCAACTTTTTTGGAAACTCACCTCCTAAGAGGGTGAAATAAGTGGTGAAAGTTGTCTCAAAAATTTGTTAAAATGGGTTTTAGAAGTATGAAATTTTGCGTAGAAGTTCCTTAGGTAACGTAAAATGAAAAACGTGGGTACTGAGAATCTATTTTTCAAAATATGTCCCTTAAGAAGGTGAAATTAGACACAAAGGTTGATAGCACTTAACAGAATTGACAGCAGTACCAAAATAAGTAAAAAGTAATCATAGTAATCAAAGTAACGAATATTTGAAATTATTACTTAGTACTCGAGTAACGATTAGTAACGAGTAATCAAAAGTAACAAAAATCAACTTCACTAGTTGACAACACAGTTGTATGACTATTACTGTATCCACGAAAGTACGTTATGATCGAGGATACAAAAGATAAGGCCGAACCTTTCTGGGGCTATGGCATTACATATATCGGACCAGGACGAAATCCCCAATAGGACCAGGGAACATAGGCGCCGGGACCTGAAAAGGATGAACTACTGCCCCGACTTTTTAATTATCAGTTTGTTCACTATACAAAAATTAGTACTAACTAATCCTAGCCGAATTACAACAGTACAGATTAAAAGTATTTCGAAAAATTTAAGCAAAAACTTCTTATGATAAAAATAACACCATAAACTTATCAAAACTAAAGAGTTTTCTGTCAAATATATTGATAAATTCTCTTATCAGACTTTAAAAAAGGGCCTGGTAAGGCGTTTTCTTAACTCGTCTTGTAAAAAAATAATGATACGGTCTGATAAGTCTTCTTATCAGACCTCTGTAAAACGGTTTGATAGGTTTGCCATCAAATGTCTAATAACTTTTGAATAATCTGATAGTAATTTCTATCAGATCTATTTTTAGAGAATTTTTTCAGTTCTCTGATCACATATCTTATAAGTTTCCTTATCAGACTTTTTTTAAAGTCGGATAAGTCTTATCAAGAATCTGATCAGATTACTTATAACATCTTATTTAGACAGTTTGGGGATATTTCTTATCATACCTCTTTCTTAAAATAGTTTGCAAAGATTTTTTATCAGATATCTGATAAGTTTTCGAATCTCTTTTTAAAGAATCTCATATTTTTTCTTATCAAATATCTGACAACTATCTCTGTTATTAAAGGTTAGATAAGTATTTTTATCAAATATCTGATAAGTTTTCCCATCAGACCACTGTAAAGAAACTGATAAATTTTCTTATTAATTAATAATATTTGATAATTTTTCTTATTAGGACACATTAAAAAGTCTGACAAGATTGAATAATAAATACCTGATAAGTACAGACATCTGAAAAGTGTTTGTATCATACTCTTGATAAGTTATTTTCCGAAAATATTTTCTTTTTGCTTAAATTTTTTGAAGGTTACATCTTATTGTTTAGACAAGATGAAATTTCATGAACGTAATTTCCAGATTGTGATCGTGTGAAGCTGCTGTGAATCTAAATTCATCTCTGATTCGTTACCTTCGTGTAAGAGGGTGTTCACTACTAGATGCAGATCTAAATCAGTTAATAAGAAATCTACTACCCGTGGAAAAATATATTTTTTTCGATATGTCTACTACTGGTCTAAAATTCTACGAATATCAGGGAATATTTTAAGTTAAACTATTTTATTTGATACGTTAAAGTTTCTTTTTGAAAAATACTAGAATTACTAAGTTTTTTTCTAATTTTCTGCATCTACTTATTGTCAGAGTTGGATGACGTCGAGAATGTCATGTCGACAATTGAATTGTTGACGCGGCAATTATGGTGTCGACGACAACTTCCTAACGAATTCCTCAATGTCAACAATGTCGACAGTTAATTTCGTACAAAATTATAGCTATAGTTAAAGAAAAACCTTATATGATTAAAACTTAATACCACAGAATAAACATTTATTAAAAACAGAGTAATCATTCTCAGAAAAGAATAAGATAAAATAAAATGATCTTCTATTTCGAGTGATTTGAATGCTGAATCAGAATCATAAGTATCACAATCAAGATTCCTTTCAGTATTCTCACTTTGGAGAGCAAAATATAAGCAGACCAATATTTTTGAATGTTCAAATCACAGTCTAAGAGGTAGGTTTTTTATCTGTTTTTGCTTTTTAAATCTGGCTTTTAAAAAGGCTTTTTTATCTGTTTTTTTTTTAAATGTTACTGCTTATTTTAACAAGAAGAAAAAATGCAAAAGATTAAGCAGTCCTACTGATACATTAATAATTTAGTCTAATGAACTGCAATTAATTGACTTTCTTGACGTTATCGACATTGTCGACATAATTTCATAGTCGAAATAGTAGTTAATAGTATTTTCGACGCCCAACTCTGGTTTTAAGTAAAGATATTCATTTGATATGTTAACTCTTTTTTTCAAATATACTATTCTAATTTTTTTCTCTAAATTTCTGCATCTACACACTTATTGTTTTCGATCTAAAAGCAGTCTTATTAGGTTTGTACTGTTATAACGTTAGACATAACTTAAAATTTGTAAAACGTTTATTAATTCTCTAACTATAAGCTCGTAGAAAAATAAAAATGTAAATTCTATACGCTTCGAGTTGTCGAAAAATTGCTGGGGCGTACTTTTTAATTCAAATCCTTCTCTAAACTTCTCGACTTACGTATGTAGCAAGTCTGGAAGTTTCAATAAAGGGAATAAAAAGCGCAAGAACGTCGACTATTCCCTCCTAATAAAACCTAACAATGCTATATTTCGCGGTACAAAGGAATCTTTCGTTGCTGAATTCGTTCGAAACGTAGTTTTCGTAAACAAATCTGTTTTCCGTGATTGTGACAAGCCTAGAGAAATTCTAATTTCGCCAGCGGGGATATTCTTTAAACGTGGCTTTGAACCAAGTACGGGTCTTTATACATGCAGGAATATATACGGAATTTTCAAGCTTATGAAAGTTACAAGGAAACAAAAAGTTTTTAATACTTAGTTCTAAAAAATATTCATGAAGAAGAAATAATTAGGTAGCCTTGAGAGCTAGCCAATATATGAATAGAATTATTCAAATAATTTTCTAACCTTCTGTGTTGCGTAAGCCTCATTCAGAATCTTGAAATTAGTGGTTTCAATTATACTTTATAGTTATGAGTTTATGATCATTTATAAAAAAATACAATTAAAATTAATATAATATTCTAGCAACAGCTTGCGGTATCCATAGAGAAAGTCTAATAATATAATAAGCTTATAAAATTAATAAAAATAATTTTTTTTCTAACCACAATTTCTCTTGACGGATGATAATCAAAGAGCGAAATGACATTACTCGAAAATTTTGAAGTATAATTAGTGAAAAAGTTTGTTAAATTTTTCTACCAATTAAAAATTATTACTACTAGTTTTCATAGCTTACACTGAAATAAAACGTTTCACTAATTTCGAGGTTAAGAATGGTATAAAGGTAATGAACCATTTGCTAATAATAAAAAAGTGTTTTGTCTTGTGAAGACGATCCGGAGACATACCGTATATTGACCAGCTTCTTTAATTATGTTTATATAGAATTATACCATATTCAAATAAGTTTTAATCTAATTAATCAACTTTTGACGACACTACAAGATTCTCTTACAACGGCGTAGTATACACCGTGGATATATCCAACCCCTGCACCCCCAACAAATCGCTCATGCTATAGGTCAGCGTGGGCGGCCCGCGAGCAGCGTGCGCTACTGGTCTGAGCGCCGGCGCTGTAGCGAACACCCTCTTACATCCGGTGACGTCGTAGAGCGCGTGCGTAGTAGCGTAATGCAGTGGCGCCGCCGAAGCGGGGGCCACAGCGATCGCCGTGAGCGGGCCCAAGGTGGCGCTAGGCGCCGTGTGATGTACAGTGGCGGCGGGCAGCGTGGCCACGCCGTGCGGGAGGGGGTAGGGCGCGTAGCGGAAGGCTGCGGCGGTGGTGGCAGCGGCGGGAAACCCCGCCGCCGCTGCTGGGTTGAGCACGAGCAACTCACCGTAAGCGCCGCGGCCAGCCGCGCGGGTCTTAGCCAGGTTGGCGGGTAGCATCACTTCTTTCGGTTGCGCCTTCTTGCATTCCACCTGAAACAAGAAAAGAAATGAAGATATAAGTAATTAATAAATACAGTCAAATTCTTCTAAATATTCCAATATCTACGTAGAAAGAAAAGAAAGGTGTGTGGAGGTAGAAAGCAACCTCTACGCACCGTCTCATTTTGGTCAGTTTACTTTACCCGCGTCGTAGATAAGAACGATAGATTCGAGAAAGAATTTACCAGCAATATTTAGCTGGTTTATACTTCCGATCTTAACCCTAACAATATTTCTTAACCTTAACGACCCACATTATTCTAGTGTCGTTAAATACTGAAGATCTATTAAATTTTGCGTTGTAATAATAAAAATTATACTATCTTATACAGAATGTTTAAAAATTTATTTTAAATAATTACTAGCTTTAAACGGCAATAACTTGTTTAATTTAAACGGAACACTCTGTATATTTTATGTCTATCAAATTGTATTATACCATTTTTACCTATCGCTTCAAGTTTTCGTAGAAAATGCATTTTTTTATAATTTAGACCTCATTTATCTACATACCCATGGAATATTGATATTCTAGATTATTTTTGAAAAAGTAATATATTTAAAGAGTACAGCTACTAATATTGCCTTTATAGAATTATTAGAATTAGAATAAGTGGGAGGGGGGTTAATCTCTGCGACCTTAGAGATCTATTGTGTCCCCCTTTCTTCTTATCCCCCTTCTAAATTATAAGAAAATGCATTTTCTACGAAAACTCAAAGGGATAAGTAAGAAATGGTATGATAAAATTTGATAGACAATTAAATTATGCATCTGATTCTCCTAAAATATATAGGGTGTTCAATTTAAATTAAAGAAGTTATTGCCGTTTAAAGCTAGTAATTATTTAAAATCAATTTTTAGATACTCTGTATGAGGTAGTATTATTTTTATTATTGCAACACAATAACTGATCAATAAATAAACTTCAGAAAATATTTAGTTTTAAAAACTTTGATACTCTTGGAGAAATGGGGGTTAAGCCTTAAAATTTTTAATGCAATTTCATAAAATTGAAAATATTTCAAAAACAGTAAGGTTTAAGTGTGATAAACCTTAATCAAATTTACCTTTATTTTAATCGTAGAAACTAAAAATGTAATAATATACAGGGTGCTTTACCATTTAAAAAAATACAACTTTAATATTTTTTATTTATTTGGGCACTCTGTATCTTCTAAAAATATTTTTAAATTGTAGCTCTAATAGGCCTTCAACGAACCCAAAGCTTATAATTTGTAAAAATGTAATCGTCTAGCTATAATACTCCGTGTATGTGGTGAACAACCCTGTACATTTCAAATTAAAGTTCGAAACATCAGTATTCATTCAGAATCATCCTAGTCACACTCCACTCCCTTTACTCAACTTCGTCCTCTCCTCCGACTCTAATCGTCCTTTCAAGAGCAAATCTCGCCTAGCGGTCGCCCTTTAAAGAGATTTATAAGGGCCTATTTCACTGGTAGCTGCCAGCAGTGCATCCTACACAATTAAACCCGGTCCAATTAAGGCAGGACGACAAAATTGCTAGAAATTCTTTTCTGTCGGACGAGGCAAGTTCGAACGAACGAATAGCGAAAAAAGGAACAGCAAAAATAAGGGGAAAAAAGAGAAAAGTCTGGATGGATGGATGGAGATCGACTATATTGCGTAAATGGTGGATTTTCTGATGTAGAAGAGGATTGAGTGATAAGGAAAAAGTGTTTATTTAGGATTAATATGTTTGTGTTGTTGTGTTATTGTCGATTCTGATATAAAAAGGTATGTTTTTAGTGATGAGGGCTTTTATACACTCACCGGCGCAAAAAAGAGGCAGCTTAAAATTTCCAAGTTTTATATATTGTGTTCTAGTGGACCGATTTTGATGAATTTTTAAGCTGTTTGTAACTAAATTATTTAACTTTTTAGTATATCTTTCTAAATCAAAAATGACAGTTGCAATGTGTTAATTATACGAGGAAAAAAATGTTAATATTTTGGTGAATGTTTGAAACACCCTGTGGAGTACGTTAACAAAGTAAGGAATTTCAAAAACCCCCACAACAATGCTATAAAAATCGGAGAAGAACTATTGGAATATGTAGCGGAATTCAATTAGCTTGGCAGTTTGATTTCGGAAAAGGCAAATATCGACTATGAAATTCAGCACAGGATTAGCAGCGCCGCAAGAGCATTATGGAAATCAAAAGACAGGGTTTTCTACAATCATGATTTGAGCACAAAAACGAAACTTATAGTGTGCCGAGCAATAATAATCCCCACTATGTTATATGGAAGCGACACTTGAGTGCCGTACCGCCGACACATGAAGGCATTAAACAAGTTGCAACAGAGATACCTTAGACAACTCTTAAGAATCAAATGGTTCCGCCATGTCTCAAACGTATCGGTCCTAGAAAAAGCTAGCTGCGAGAGCGTTGAAGTTATGATTACAAAATCCCGCTTAAGATGGGCTGGTTACGTATGCAGAATGTAAGAAAACCGCCTGCCAAAATCTCTGCTTTACGGTGAGCTTGTAAACTCAAATGGTCAGACCGAGGAATGGCCAGACCGGGCCAGACTGCGGAAGAAAGATAACAATTTACGTATTGATCTTCTCAGTCACAGAAAAGCTCATGAAAGAAAACGCTTTCCGTAACGATCTTCTGATGCGTGTCAAATACTCGTCAGCGAGTAATGACAGTAGTATGTATGTAATAAAGCTTTAATATAATACTAGAGCCGGGAAATTTAAAATATAAGACCATAGATTTTTATAGACAGCGACAACGAAACATATCGACAATGCTGATGATACGTTTACTTAAAAAAAACACCGCAAAAAACGACCCGATCTTTCACTAGACCAGTGTGGCGAAATCATCGTTTATGAAAATAAAACACCGCTTTTCGAGGTTCGTGTTGAATTTTCGGCTCATCTCGTGAATATTTCAGGGAGATGCGGTCTGGCCTCGAGTATTATTGACGCGATTTTGTTGTTCCAATGGAAAACAATCTAAAATTACACCAGTCATGTTTGTGTTTGGCGTGTCAACGTGACATGGCCGCTGTGAGCGCCACGTGGTCAAGTTTGGGAAGCGTTAGAAACGTCAAACTTTTGACATTTGAAGGCTTTTAAAAAAGAAATTTCAAGGAGATACGATTTTAATTTAAGTAAGCCTATAATTGTGAAGATTGTGGAAGATGGCACACTTTTAAACCTAATTCATTTAAAAAGACATTTTCACTAGTAATACTACTAGAGGTCAAATTATTTCCTCGCCTTCGACTCGGGATAATTTTCAAAACATTCATGGGCTCGAAAAAATTTCCGGATTTAATTTGACCTCGTGTGGTATTCGGTAAGAAAATTCCACACCAAATTGTGTTTGAAAATCAAATAATTAAAATGTATTTTTCGATTTTTGGTCGACTTGATTATTTAGTAACTATGGCAACTAAGTGATACCCAAACCTAACTAAAAACTATTTCAGTTTTGAAGCTGTCAAGCTGCACGACTTAAAAAAAATGTTTAGCTTCGGTCAAGAAAGCAAATAAAATATTCGCCAGGAGATTAAGCAGTTGACACCCATGAATACTAGGAAATCGAAGTCAAGCGTATGGAAGCAGTTTACAAACTTTTGCGCAGAAAAATCGTATGATTTCGACAGAGCGGATATACCTAGACCTTTAAATTGTTGACTTCTACTCGTTGTAGTTGCACGAAAATACCAACTCAAGACACAACACAATATATTTTTTAACTTTACATAAGTTTTGAGTAACTACAAGTGGTAGAAAATTGCTTTTTTGGGTTGGGTTGGTTGGTTTTTAGATTGGAAAACTGGAAATGTAGAATACATATTGGGGCAACTAATACACAGCACGGGATCGCAGAAATTAATAGAAAAATACCATACCATACCATCAATTTTCTTGATGTTACAATTATAAAACAGTCTAATAGATTACAATTTGATATTTACAGAAAACCCACTACCACAGACACTGTAATACATAGTCAATCACACCAATCCTGGCAAATCAAAATGTCACCCTTTCATAGTTTAATTCATAGATTAGTAATGTTTCCACTGAGCCCAGAGAAATTTAAAAAAGAGTTAAATATTATTAAACAAATCGTTATCAACAATGGATATAAGTGTTCCCTTATTGATAATATGCTAAAGAAAAAACAAAAGAAAATATTAATGAAAAATTTTTATTCCGCTAATTCTAAAGACAATAACAATCATCGACTTTTAAACTACATTCCTAATTTAACTAACAAAATATCAAATAATCTCAATAAAATAGGATGTAAAACTATTAACGTAAATAAAAGAAATTTAGGTCAAATTTTATTAAATAATAAAGACAAAACTAATGTCAAAAATAAGTCGGGTGTATATAGGGTGGACTGCAATGATTGTGATGCCGTGTACATAGGCCAAACTGGTAGAAATTTAGATATAAGGATTAAAGAACATATAAAGTCTATTAATAATCTCCAGCATAGTTCTGGTCTTGCAACTCATTGTATAGTAAATAATCACAAAATTAATGAAAACTCAATTAAGTTACTAACAGAGAAACAAAAGGTAGACGCTTAAATTACATTGAACAGTTAGAAATACTAAAATCTGTTAAAAACGAAAATAATGTTAACGACCAACAAGGATTTCTAAACACATTTTTTATTACCCTATTGTAAACTCTCTATATATATATATATATATATATATATATATATATATATATATATATATATATATATATATATATATATATATATATATATATATATATATATATATATATATATATATATATATATATATAAAATGAACAAAATTCTTACAGCTTTAGTGTATATTAATAAATAATATTTTCTTGCCTTTAGCTGTGTATTTTTTCTAATTTCGAAAAATCGAAAGTAGAGAAAAAATTAAAAAAAAAATAAAAAGTAAAAAGAAAATTGTTTTGCTTGTCGTAAAGGGGGGAACCAAGCTC